AATTTCCATTCCATTCTTCGTAATTTATGCCTTCGTTATTTTCGAGAGGCAACTAAATACCTGATTGAATGCCAGTTCGTACCTTCTGCCCAGAAAAGAAAAGAAATATGAAGAAAAACTACTAAAAAAGTCCAAATGCAAAAAAGCTGGCTTTCAAATTCCCGCGCTCGAAACTCAGAGGCGTCGGCGCGCCGCCCCATTGTCTGCAAGCGTTTTTTTTCAATCGTGTGTTAGGAATCGACTATAGCGTAAATCGTGTTTTTTTATGAAATCGTTTGAAAGGCTCGAAAGCTTTTTCTCCACAATATGATTGGAAGCTTATGTACATCAAACTAAATCAAGTCCTACCGCTGCGACACCTATTTGTCTTGCACTATTTTCTTACTTTATCTGTATTCATTATTTTCAACTCTCTACGAATCTCTCTGATAAGATCCGATAGTGGTCCACTCTTTTCAAATTCCACAACAACTTGGTTTTCTTCATCTTCGCAAAAGCAGACCTTGAAAATTTGGACGAGTAATCCTCTTAGCAAAATGTCTTACAAAATTAACCTACTTTTAAGGCGATTTTGTTTAAAGGAACTATACGTTGGATAGAAATAGGCTAAAAAAAATATTTTCATTACTCATATGGCCATTAACTCCATTTTACATTTTGTTAGTGTGGTATTTTCACCATACTTACTGTAATGGTGTCATCCCTTAATGCTTCCATAGAATAGTGTGACTCTAGGTCAAAACGACTGAAGTAGGCAGCCCTTTCAGGAAACAAAGCTCTTAGTGCAAGGACCGTTTCACAGCGATACGGTAGACGACATGCTTCATTCGGGCATAGAGGTGGTGAGTCTAAATATTACAAAGGCTTATGGTAAAATGAACATTATGGCGCATTGTGTAATTGCACATTACGTACTGGATCTAGAAAACATACAGGTCAAGGTAGTAGCGAAGAGAAATGTCATTATCATCACTCTATAGTACTGCATCAACGTTGCATTTTTAGAACTTGGTGTGTTGTGTGCAATGACGACATATGCATCCATGTAGACATTTTTATTTCGCCGAAAATTCACTCACTATTGTGTTCGCACTCATCCAAAACCTTTGCCAAGCAGTTGATGCAAACTTCATGTTCACATTCCATTTCTGAGGGGAAATTTCGCAACACTTCACCTTCACAATCAGGTAGCCCAGAACATGGTGTCTTGATCTGCAATTACACAAACTAGACTGGAACTGCAACAAAAATATGACCGAAATGTACAGGTGTCCTTTTTCCTTTTTTAGCTTTTCCGCCACCTTTCGACAAACATTTGCCAGGCGGACAGACGCCTTTGCCTTCCGTCCATTTTTTAGCACATGGTTGGCACATGTAGACCTAAAGGTATCAAGTTGTTTCTTATCCAGGCGCAAAGTATAAACGCTTGCTTACTTGACAGCACGGGAGCGCAACCATTTTGTCAATCTCGTACATGGCACGACATGGACCTTCACATTGCTCTAATTCATCGTCTTCATTCAAAGGCGCTCCACATCCTCCAACTGGACATTGGCCATTGTTGCTTAAAATCAAATTTATGTTGATTACATCATCGATGATCATCAATTAAGGCATGACAAATTCTTTTTTTCCTTTAACTCCAGAAATGTACCAAAGAAGATGTAAGGCATCAAAGATAAATTCTTTAGGATTTGATGCGATGGGCGGGATTGAGCACATGTGATTTGTCCAGCTGCTAAGCAGTAGCCAATCACAGATCCTCAAGTCCGCTCCTGCACCAAATTTAGATAAAGTTATTTCTTCTGCGCTAGGAAAATTAATGAACGAGATGCTTCGTCCGAACTTTTGGGTTTCTAAAAAACTCTTCTCTTTTACCTACTTTTTGTTAGCATCGTCAAAGCATTGTGCACAGAGATCATGTTGACAAGCTGTGTGATAGACATCTCCAGCTATAGCAAGCTTTCTCAGACATCGTTCATATTCGCAAGGATTCCATCTGATATCCATTGGAGGTACCAAAGGCGAGTAACAGTGCAACGCAGGACAAACCTAAATGCACCATATCTTCAGTACTTGTCATTTCTGTCAGTACCAGAATGGAAGAACCTTGCTCGTTTTTCTGGTTTTCTGTTGGCATTTGATGCAGATCACATGAAGGCAAGGAACAAGTTGTACGGCATCATTGCATGTTACAGCACTTCGACAGGCCGCACAGTAGATTGACATCCTCTTTAGAGGTATTTGAAGGTTAAAAATGAACCTTACTCAAGAGGATGCTCTGAAATAACAGGTTGTCTAAAAAATAGTAAGGCAGTTATCAAAAATTTTGCATTACTGAAACCTATATACTAGAAACTATGCACGATTATAAGGATATGCTGCAAATGCTTTGTAGATGGTACTGTGGCAGCTAAATTCAAAGCACTTATGAATGGTCGATTTTATAATTCTATTTATCGCCCAAATAAGATATTGGGTACGAGGGCCAGTAGTATTGGGATAGATTTGTGTTTGACGGGTACTGTAGGTATTTTATACCAG